TTTTTCTAGGAATAACCTACGTGTTTATATTGCGAAAAAGCATATAGAGCATGGACACACGAAATTCATCAAAAGGACCCAGAAACACACATGTCCCTGTACAATTGCACAAAAGACCTAAAAAAAGTAAAAACTCAGTCCTAAGAGATCCTTGCATCCATCGTCATCCTGCCCGTTGCCGACCGCTGTCGTCGCCGGAGCACCGCCGGAGATAGGAATAATAAGCAGCCCCATGAACCAGATCCGCCGAAGCACCATAGCTGAATCAACGTTGTGAACTGATTAAGCAGCCCGCCGCAGAACAACAAGGCACGGGTGGAGATTCTTTTTGTTGAGCTTTGGTGCCCCTATGGAGCTACAAGAGGAAGAAGTGGCTCAAATCGACCGCCGAATTAAAATTCTTTATTCCAAATTACAACCCGAGAGAGAGGAGAGAGGCATACCCCGCTGGTGAAAGAATCGCCGCTGGAGAGGTCATTGAAGAAGACCATGGCGCCCGCGGCGGTCGGATGCAAGACGGCGAGAGCGAGGAAGCGGCTATAACTTGGTTAGGAAGGAAGGAGGAAACAGGGAAAAATGAGGCTTGTGGTCGGGGAGAAAAGGGGGGTGGGGGGACACCATTCACTTTGAACACATGTGTGCATCACAAATTATTCTTCTGCATTACACGCATTCGATGATTTTGAGCATTCAAATTTTGGTCAAAATTTCCCTTGGTACGGTGCTCATCAATGTCATTGGATGATTTAACATCGCTTGCTAATTTGGGTACACAAAAGAGCCTACAGCACATAGACCGCACTTACTGAATCGAGCAATTTTAGTAATTAAACAGAGCCAGTTGACCTAAACATTGCTCTAACAAAAGACCAGCGTTATAAACTAGTACGCATAATTTTAACAAAGTCGTCGACCCGCCGCCCTATGCCTCGTCGGTGTAAGATGAGATATCGATGGCTTGTCCTGGCGACATGCCGCCATTAGAGGACTCCGCGCCCCCTAGGCTGAAGTCGACCGCGTCGCCGTCCTCGTCATCGTCCTCTGCGCCGCCCTCAATGTTGCATTACTCGTAGTAGTGGTTGCGCCAGAGCTCGCGTTGGTACTTCGCCACCGACTCCTCGACGGATAGGCTCTTCTCTACCTCCTCCTTAGCCACGCGCAACTCCTCCTCTCAGCGCTCCTCAATCTCCGCCGCCTCCTGCATCTCCAGCTCCCGCTCGACGATCTCATGAGGAAGTAGGTGCTCCATGGCCTTCGCCCCCTTTTCGGGTGTGGGGTGCATGCTGAATTCCGAGGAGGCCTGGAATATCTTGTTGTGGGCGTCCTCGATCTTGGCATGGATGGCCTCGACCCAGACCAGGGCAACATCCACGGCACAGACAGCTGCTCGAGAGCTCTCAGCGTTTGTAGTCGCCATCGCAATAGCTGCTGCAATCGTCTCGGTTGCTGCAGCTGCCCGATCAGCTGCCACAGACGCCCTCTCCGCGGATGCGGGCGTGCTCAATGTGTATGCGACCGCGCTCCCAACGAAGGTGGAGGCGCTTGGGGAGGATGTGGCGACCGTACGAGCTCTCATGAAGCGTCTCCTCGGTGTCATTCTTTACAGGAAGGGGTTGGGGAATGGGGATCTGTGATTCGTGGATTCATGGGGGGCCTGCACTTAAGCAGACGAGGTCGGTGGAGCTTATGGAGGAAGACATAAATAGACCTATGAAATTTTATCGCAAACAGTTCCTATAACCAACTGTGTGTGATGTAGTTGATTTTTTGTATTAGTTATGAAAGACGAATTTGGAGTACAGTGGCAACGGATGGTGTTTTAAATGTATGAGAAAATTTTGTACCATTAACTTATGACCCACAAGTATATGGTATCAATCGTAGTCCTTTCAATAAGTAAGAGTGTCGAACCCAACGAGGAGCAGAAGAAAATGACAAGCGGTTTTTAGTAAGGTATTGTCTACAAGCATTGAAATTATCGGTAATTGATAGTTTGGCAGCAAGGTAATTTGTAACGAGCAATAAGTAGCAATTATAACAAAGGTGCAGCAAGATAGCCCAATACTTCTTATAGCAAAGGGCAGGCCGGAACAATCTCTTATAATAAGCAAAGCGTTCTTGAGGACACACGAGAATTTCATCTAGTCACTTTCATCATGTTTGTTTGATTGGCGTTCGCTACTTTGATATGTGGATGCATCGGTGCTTGGGTGTTTTTCTTACTTGAACAAGCCTCCACTTATGATTACCCCCTCTCGCAAGCATCCGCAACTACGAAAGAAGAATTAAGATAAATCTAACTATAGCATGAAACATATGGATCCAAATCAGCCCCTCGCGGAATAACACATAAACTAGGGTTTAAGCTTCTGACACTCTAGCAACCCATCATCTAATAACTACTCCACAATGCCTTCCCTTAGGCCCAAAGATGGTGAAGTGTCATGTAGTGGACATTCACATAACACCACTAAGGGAATCACAACATACATATCATCAAAATATTGAATGAATACCAAATTCACATGATTACTTATAACAAGACTTTTTGCATGTCCTCAAGAAAAAAAAGTAACTACTCACAAATCATATTCATGTTCAAGATCAGAGGGATATGGAATATCATTAAGGATCTGAACATATAATCTTCCACCAAATAAACCAAATAGCAGCAACTACAAGATCTAATCAACACTACTAGTAACCTACAGGTACCAATCTGAGGTTTTGAGACAAAGATTGAATACTGATGAACTAGGGTTTGAGATGAGATGGTGCTGGTGAAGATGTTGATGAAGATTGGTCCTCCCATGATGAGAGGATCGTTGGTGACGACGATGGCTTCGATTTCCCCCTCTCGGAGGGAAGTTTCCCAGGCGGAATCGCTCCGGCAAAGAGCAAAAGTGCTCCTGTCCAGGTTTCGCCTTGAGACGGAGGCGCTTTGCCCTGAAACCTTTTCTATTTTTAGGTCAAATGACACCATATAGGAGAAGATGGGCCCCGGAGGCCTGCCAGGGGTGCCACAAGCTCGGGGGGCGTCTAGGGGGGTAGGGCGCGCCCCCAGGCTTGTGGCTGCCTGGTGGGTCCCTCTCTGGTAATTCTTTCTCCAATATTTTTTATACATTCCAAAATAATTCTCTGACAATTTTTAGGTCATTTGGAGTTGTGCAGAAAAGGTGTCTCCGATATAGCTCTCTCTGGTCCAGAATTCCAACTACCGGCAATCTCCCCCTTCATATGAAACTTGCAAAATAAGAGAGAAAATGCATAAGAATTGTATTATAAAGTGAAATAACAATCCATAATGCAATAAATATCGATGTGAAAACATGATGCCAAATGGACGTATTAACCCCCCAAGCTTAGAACTCGCGTGTCCTCAAGCAAAAGCCGAAATCGATAATCATGACCACATGTTTAGAGCATCTCCACTCGCCCCCTCCCCAACGGGCCCCCCACTATGCCTTTTTAGTGCCGACACCGAAAAGACAGCCCAGTCCCGCCCCCGGGTCATTGTTTATCACCAGTTTGGGCTAAATAACAACCGGCGAACCCAAGCCAAACCCAGTGCCCGGGGGGCGCCTGGGGGCGTCGGCTAAAGAGAAAAGGTGTGTGGGGTCGTGCTGTCAATGACAACAGGCATATTACCGCCGTTTTTGCCCGCCCTTTTCCCCCATTCTCCCATTGCTTCTCCCTTCTCCCCCGCAGTTCCCGCCATTCTTCTCATCACCCGCCACCGCCATGTTGCTGAAGAAGTATGTTGCCCCTCGCGCCACCGCCGAATCCACCCAGCCGAAGTAGAGGAAGGCGAGGGCACCGATGGCAAGGCCACCGGACATGTCAAACGCCGAGTGGAGGGCGGATGTTCAGCGTCGGGAGGCGGTCACCACCGACCGGCGGAACAGGCTCATCACCAACAGGGCCAGGGCTGCGGCGGTGGAGCAGGGAGAGGTGGCTCGCGCGGGGATGATGAACCTTTCGCCCGGCCACGGCCCACAAGCACGTGGGTGAGCCAGCCGAGTGTCTCGTCGCCGACCAACTTCTCGCCCCCACGCAATGGGGGTACGCACCCTCGCCTGGCTACTCCGACAATGACGCGCTGATACGTCCATTTTGCATCATGCTTTTATATCAATATTTATTGCATTACGGGCTGTTATTTCATGTTATGTCACAATACTTATGGCTATTCTCTCTTATTTTACAAGGTTTACATTAGGGATGAAAACGGAGCAGAAACGGACGGAATTG